CCATGCAGATTGGGCGCACACGTTTGTCTCCTGAGGAAAGACAAAGAAGATTCGCAGCTAAATTATGCATTTACTGTGGCAATAAGGGACATTTTGTTGCCACCTGCCCGCTGCGGGGAAATGGGTCGTCTCGTCAGTAGACCAAGGGAAGCTGACGAGACAGGACAATTTCTCCCCTAATTCTCTGTTTTTTCTTCACGCTACAGTAGTTTGTGGACAAAACAAACTACCAATTTAGGCTCTTGTGGACTCTGGTGCTGAACAAAACCTAATCTCGAGTGACTTAGTGGAACAACTGGAACTTCCGACCTCACCTCTCAATCCACCACACTCCGTGGCCAGTGTTACAGGACAACTCTTATCTCAAGTCAACAGACTCGTCCCCAGTTTACACATAATTGTGTCTGGCAACCATCATGATTTGGGTGAGTTCGTTGTCTTTGATTCTACCTCCCCACAACTTATTTTAGGTTTTCCATGGCTGGCTTTGCATAATCCTGTTATCATTTGGGAAGAAAAGAGGGTTGAGAGCTGGAGTACTTTTTGTTTACAACACTGTTTAAAGTCAGCTGTATCGGCCTCCGTTAAAGGGGAGGAACCTGTTGAAATGACTGATTTGTCTTCCTTACCTGAGGCTTACCATGATCTGGCATCTGTTTTTAGTAAAAACAAGGCACTTTCGTTACCCCCTCATTGACCATACGACTGCGCCATAGATTTAATACCAGATACATCATTGCTCTCCAGTCGTCTTTATAATCTCTCTGGCCCTGAAAAGGAGGTCATGAAAACATACATTGATGAATCTTTAGCTTCCGGTATCATTCGCCCATCCAAATCGCCGCTAGGGGCTGGATTTTTCTTTGTCTCCACAAAGGACAAAACTCACAGACCCTGCATAGATTGCCGAGGTCTCAACCAAATCACTGTAAAAAATAAATATCCCCTACCTCTGTTAGACTCTGTCCACGATCAGCTCCACTCTGCCGCCATCTTCACCAAACAGGATCTCCGTAATGCCTACCATCTTGTGCAGATAAAAGAGGGAGATGAGTGGAAGATGGCATTTAAGACCCCATTAGGTCATTTTGATTACTTGGTCATGCCTTTTGGTTTAACCAAAGCCCCAGCAGTTTTCCAAGCTTTGATCAATGATGTACTCAGAGATTTCCTTAATGTGTGTGTATTTGTTTACTTGGATGATATTCTCATTTTTTCCGTGACCTCCAACAACATGAGAAACATGTCAGAGCAGTTCTTCAGAGGCTTCATGAAAATCAACTCTACATAAAAGCAGAAAAAATGCGAGTTTCACATCTCATCAGTGGCCTTTTTAGGTTTCATTCTAGAGAAGGGTCAATTTAAAACAGACACTGAAAAGGTTCGAGCAGTTTCTGAGTGGCCAGTTCCAAATGACCGTAAACATTTACAACATTTCCTTGGTTTTGCCAACTTCTACAGACGGTTCATCAAAGACTACAGTCGCATCGCCGCACCTCTCAACCAACTTACCTCCACATCAAGGACCTTCTCCTGGACTCCCGAGGCAAAGAGCGCTTTTGGTGAGTTAAAGGCTTGTTTTTCTCAAGCACCGATTTTGTGCCATCCAGACCCACACAATGACAAAATGAGAACTACTGTAAGGCTGAGTCTAAAATGAGCAAACCCAGGAAGAACCACGGAGGCTAGTAGTAAAAATAATACTGCTTTATTTTTACAGGTGATATAAACAATGTCCAGGAGGTCAAACCGGGACCCAGAGAATCTGGAGAAGAGATACTGGTGAGTATGGAGCAGATAAGAGATGATGCTGGGTATTTAGTATGAGGAGAGTTATCTTGACTTACTGGGTTTTGAAGGTGAGTAGTACATAGGAGGAGGTACATAAATCCAGATGGTTAAATCCAGTAACGATAGTTCTTTGAAGCTGAGGCAGACAGGCAGCGAGCTTTAATTGTTTGAGATCCAGAGGAACATTCTTTGTATTGTTTCCACAGGGTGAGACCTGGAAACCAGAGACACAGGAGATGTTATGCCAAAGAGCAGGTAATTGAGAGACAAGAGAAAGTACTTGCGAGTACTTTCTCTTGTCTCTCAATTACCTGCTACTTGCGAGTAGCACATGGGGAGCTGAGGACGACAATACCCAAAGTACGTGACGATTCAGCGTTGACCTGCTGAAGACTGGAGTCTTAAGTAGCAGGTCAGGTCATCAGGTGAAATCAGTCTCAGGTGTGCTCTGCTGTCTGCCAATTAACTCATGAGGAGAGGTGAAACAGGAGGAGGTGGGTGAGGAAATCACCGAATGCTTCAGTACCCATTCCTCAGGAATCGCCTCCAGGCGATCTGGGTCTCTTGTCTGGGTGAGCTCTGTAAAAGGAAGAGATTAATGAAGGGTCCAAGATGGCGGACCTGGGGACCCATGACCTCTCTTCAGGGCCATAACCCTCCCAGTCCACGAGGTACTGGAACCCACGACCCCTGCGCCTCACATCGAGGAGTCGTCTTACAGAGTAGGCGGGTTGATTGTCGATGAGGCGGGGTGGCGGGGGAGAACTGGCTGGAGGGGAAAAAGAGATAGAAGTGATGGGTGTGATCTGGGACACGTGAAAAGTAGGGTGAATCCTCATAGCCGGGGGGAGCTTGAGGTGAACGGCAGAGGGGTTAATAACTTGGAGGATGGGATATGGGCCAATGAACTGTGGAGTTAGTTTCTTGGGGGTATCGTGGAGGTGAATGTCCTTGGTGGAGAGCCAAACCATCTGACCAGGGCTGTAGGACGGAGCTGAGGTGCGATGACGGTCGGAGAAGTGGCGATTCTGTTGGGCGGACCGTTGGAGAGCTGCCTGGGTCCAAGTCCAATACTTACGGCAACGGCGCAGGTGGTGTTGAACGGAGGGTACCAGGATTTCAGTCTCGAGATCAGGAAACAAGGGGGTGAGTAACCAAGAGAAGCTTCGAAGGAAGAAAGACCAGTGGATGAGGAGGTGTGGCAGTTATGAGCGTACTCCACCCAGGGGAGAAAAGTGGACCATGATGATGGTTTACTGTTAATGACGCACCTTAAGGCTGTCTCGAGCTCCTGGTTGCACCTCTCCGCCTGGCTGTTGGACTGCGGGTGGTACCCAGAGGTGAGGCTGGCCTTAGCTCCTAGGGCAGCACAGAAAGCCTTCCAGACCTGAGATATAAACTGCGGCCCTCGGTGTGAGACAATGTCCTGGGGGATGCCATGCAGCCGGAAAACATGTTGGACCATGAGTTGGGCAGTCTCGGAGGACGTTGGGAGTTTCGCCAGGGGGATGAAATGGGCTGCCTTGGAGAATCTGTCCACAATGGTGAGGATGGTTGTGTTGCCGTCAGAAGGGGGAAGACCAGTAACGAAGTCCACAGCAATGTGGGACCAGGGGCGGCTGGGGGTGGGTAGAGGCTGTAGGAGTCCTGAGGGTGGTTGGTTATTATTCTTGTTCTGGGCACAGAAAGTACAGGCAGACACAAACTCGGTAACTTCTTTGTTTAACGTGGACCACCAAAAATACTTCTTGGTGAATGACAGCATGCGGCTGACTCCAGGGTGGCAGGTAAAGCGGTGGTTGTGGACCCAATCCAATACTGTCTTAACCATAGTGGCAGGAACATACTTCTTTCCAGGGGGCATAGTGCTGGGGCCGGGATCAGCTCGCTGGGCCTCCTGGAGATCCTTTTCAAGGTCCCAGACGAGTGTACCTACAAAACAGGAGGAAGGGAGAACAGGAGAGCCAGAGGAGGGTTCATCTGAGGGTGAGAATTGGTGTGAGAGGGCGTCAGGTCTGACATTCTTAGATCAATAGAATAACAGATAGAACAATGCATGTTGCTACCACGACACTAGCGCTCATCATCAGCCATCAGGGGAGACGTTGGCATCTTATCGAGGCTTTCAAGTGACAAGCCCCTTATACGTACGTGGGAGCAGCTATGTATGCTGTGTTTTGGGGAAAATGTATTCAGTGAGTGTAATACTTTCTTTTACTACTTCGGTGATTTCACTACTGCTTTTACATCATGTTATCTTCTTCGTTGTCTTTTCGCCAGTAGAAACAGCCGTTTCTTGATCACGTGACTCCTGTGATGCGAAAAAAGTGTTTCCATTGCAGTTTTGCAAAATACATCAATTTCGATACGGCTGAAAAACCACATCTTCCTAGCGCAAAAACATTTTGTCGAAAAATGTAATAAATTCTTTTTCAAAATTGAGCAAATTTATTTTCGAAATTCTAATTTGATTTCATGGTCAATGGCAGCTAGTGATCCACCATCCGCCCCAATGCCAGGCTGGTAGGCGAACTGCAGCAGAGCCAAAGAAGATGTCACCTCATGGCGTCTTTAACCTGGTTTAGGACCACCCTCTCCAGGGTCTTCGTTACATATGATGTCAGGGCTACAGGCCTGTAGCTGCTGAGGTTTTTTGGGTGATTAGTCTTTGGTACTGGTATCACACAGGAGGTCTTCCACATTTGTAGTAATTTCCACCCACACATTTTACTGAGAGATGTATAAATGTAGGAAAATATGAAAATAAATGTCACTCGTTATTTCTTCATTGCTACCTATTCCTATAATGACAAACATTTTCCTTCTTCAGGTCTGTCATGTTTTATGATAATTTGTCCTAACTACTGAAACAGAGTTGATAAAAACATCAGAATATGTCAGCCTGACAGCTGTGTCATGCTGAGGTTGTTAATATTTACTCACTGGAACCATGTGGTGTTGGTTTAAAGCTAATCTAAAGGTCTTCCTCCAACACTGGAGATGCACACTGGGTGCAAAATGGAGATCCTGCTGAGACCTATTCAACACACACACACACACACACACACACACACACACACACACACACACACACACTCCAGCTGCAGTTAGTTACTCAGCACAAGAGTCAAACAACAGCAGGCCAACATCCCAGGGGAGACAAACAGATCGACCATTCACGAAGGTGAGATAAGGCTTCAGGTCCGTACCATCTTAGCATCTCGTCCACGCATGGTCCCTCTGGTTCTGAAGAATCGATGGTACCCTGATTCTGGCCCATTAATTTTCTGTCATAACCTAACAATGAAAATAAAACAACTTTCTCAAAGTTGCCGGACGGCCGTCCTCTTATTACTTGCCACAAATCTAAAACTCTGCGTTCGCAACGCGTACCAGCTGTCGCCTGCTAGCTGCAAGGCAAACTAGAGATTAGCCGCTAAGCTAAGCCTCTTAAATGAGTTTTGGACAGTTAAAGAGCTCTTGGTACAACTAACATGTTTTGTTTTTAATGAGCTCTAGGTGCTGCAAACATGTTTTGTTTTGACTAACAGTGATTTAATAAGTCTGACCAAGTGACTTCTTTAGTACTTTAAAGGTTTGTATTTGGAGGCATTTTGAAGCTCCATTAAAGTACCTGTAGTTTTATTTTGGTTTGTTTTTAAGTGTGGTTTAGACTGACTTTTGGCTATTTTTTGGTTATTTATGTACTTGGCCCAATCAAATTTTGTCGTCTTTGTTAAATCAAGTTTGTTAAACTTTTTAATTGGGCAACCAGTGTATTTTGTTTGGTTTGAGGACCCACTTTTGTCATAATAAACCTTATTTTTTACAAACCCATTTTCTCTGGACACATTTTATGTTGCCACCCCGAACCTCCTAGACTTGGGGTCGTAACACTTACCAGAGGGAGATCTTCTGGTCTCAGCCCGTGGAGCTCCAGCATGGACGTATCCGTGATGCAAAATTGTTGTGGAAATCTTTATTTAAGCAAAACAGAAACACGTGGTCCAAAAATAAAAAGTATTCTGTGAATGGTCAACAGGATTTATCGCAATTGCAAGATGCACACCATGTCACACAGGACAGTGGTACGTAGAATGTGTGCCCTGAGGCAATGTCAAATACAGTACACACATTTATACAGAATGTTATCCAAACAGAAAATAAACATCTTTCCTGGTGCCGAAGCTGGGCCAAGGAGAGAATGATGTTTGATCAACAGCAACAAGAATGATTACTTCTAACAGATATTGTCCTGATCTTGAAACACATCGTCTGAGAGAAAACAGAAGATAAAAAAGTGGAATCATAAAAGATGACATTTTAAGGTAAGCAAAAGAGGTCACTGCCGCTTGGCCTGAGAAGAATGTAGGACTTTAAAAGATAAGTTATTTTTCCAGGACACTGCGCAAGCAGATCTCCATTTACGCTCGCTGAAATCATTATTTCCCTCTCGCGGGTATGATTGTTGCTTGCTTGGATTTGAATTTGCACACGTGCGATCTTGTTTTCTCTCGCGAGAATTACAGCACGATAATGCCACCATATTTAGCCCCCTGTGCCTCTTTTCATCTGTCTGTTCACCTTATGAGATTATTTAAGTAATGAAGGCCTGTGATTCCAACAAAACTAACAGTTGGTCACTACTGAATGGTGATGGGGGACATCAGTGACAGTTGGCATTGAGTTCTATCTTGTTTAGTTTAGTTAATTTAGTGTAGAGTAGAGTAGTGTAGTGTAGTACTGTTGTTTCTTCAGTAAACTTAAACGTGATTCTGATGAAATTGAAATAAAGTGTGCATACTAAGCTGTATAAAACCAATAAAATTTTTAAAACAAAATATGATGAACATAAAACATTTTCTTTTTAAATTGATCTATTAAGATAAAAGAAAAATGCATAGTTTATTTTAAGTGCAGAGACATTTTTAAATTACTACTTTTGTTTTCTTTAGATAAATTGAGTGATTTATGTATTATGATCCAGCATCAGTGATCTCACTTTGTTCTGCTCTAATTTTCTGTTGACTTCTCCCCTGTGGATAACCTCCCAATTGTGGTAATTAACTCAGCAGTATTGCTTCAGAAAATCTAGTCAAAATGAAGACTGGAAATTGCTGACATGAGTTAATATTGTTAATGGTCAGCTTTGAGACGTCCCTGCCTCATTATAATTCCTCTCTTGATCCCCTATCTGAAAGTCCCAGTTCCTGGAGAGCGTTTTCTAAATTAAATACTGGATCAGAACAGATGAGAAGGCAAAAAAGACATGGTATATATATGTGTGTGTGTGTGTGTGTGTGTGTGTGTGTGTGTGTGTGTGTGTG